GAGAGAGAGAGAGAGAGAGAGAGAGAGAGAGAGAGAATGCACATATAAACAAGCATATGCAATTGTTTGTTGGCTTGGTTTCTGGATGTCTTTTTGGAATCCAGCATTTCCTCTGCCTGATTAATTGACAGCTGTTTAAAGATCATAATTCACACACACACACACACAAGCTTGCGCGCGCCCCTGCCTTGTGCATCTGTCAAAATAATGCAAGACTAAAAACCGGAAAAATCTGGTGGAGAGGAGGCAAGCTGGTTATTAGTAGCATAGCTGTGCTGGCTGATTCACTCAAGACCAGCACTGGGTTTGTTCGAGGTGATGCGGCTGCCTCCAGTTCCCATTGCTGAAATGCCTCCTTTTCAAGTCCCCAAATCCTGCAAGGAACCAGAGGCCACTTACATCATCTTCCTCCTCCTCTCCATTTTATCCTCACAGCAACCCCATGAGGTAGATCAGTCTGAGAGTGAGTGACTGGCCTAAAGTCACTCAGCAAGCTTGATGAGCTAAGTAGAGGCCAGAACCCAGATCTCCAGAGTCGCAATCCAACACTCTTATCACTGTGCCATATTGGCGATATGTGTTGAGTTTCTTAGCTGGCTTGTTAAGCTCAGCATCCAGCCAGCCACCCCCACTGGGTTCACAGGACGTGGCGTGCTGCCATGGATATTTCTGCAAACTCCCTTGGGCTGTACCTGGGATGCAGCAATCAGTCCTTGGTTGTGTGAACAGGTTGTAAATCAGGGATAAGAAGACTGCTTTGGACTACAACCCCCATGATCCTGGCCAACAGCCATACTGACTAGGGCACTTGGGGTACAGGAGGCTGCCAACTTCTCACAGGCCCTAGCCCTGTTCTATATGGATGGGCTCACATTTCGAACGCACATCTCACTTTACGCACAGCTTTTCTTGACCGCCTGTAGTAGTGGGGATTTATCTTAGTGCTGTGATGGATTCCCTGCTTAGAATTCTGAAAAGTTCAGTTGGCAGGGAGTCCAACAGTGAAACAACCGCAGATTAGATTTCTGACTGGCAAGTCGCAAATGTTGACCATTCACAGCTCCATCTGTCCTTCAAAGGCACCTGCTGTTGTCAGAATGTCAGCCTCAGGGAATATTCACTCCCCCTCTTCCTTCAAAGGACCCCGAGCTGGTTATGTGTGGTTTGCAGGAGGTCTCTGTTCTTCAAGGAGCTTACGAGGTCCAAATGGGTACATCCTCTTGGGTATGGCAAAGGCATTTGCAAATGGTCGGAGTAGCACTACCGGTGAATTCATAAGAGCCCCCTTTGATCTTTGCTAGTCTGCCACTTGGCAACCCTGGACAACGCATTCTACAAGCACCCATAGGGTGTTCTTCAGGGGAGGGAGCTTGTGTGTGCGAGGGTGTGTGTGCGCACATGCTGATAGCACCAAGGTAATCGCAAAATAAGGATTTTCATGCAAAACTTTTCAGATATTTGGAATGGATCCATTTGGCTTGTACTGACCAACAAAGGGAAGTAGAACATCTACTCCAAGGGAGAAGACCCTGAGTGGGTTTAGGAACCAAGCAGGAGCCATATTTGTGCTGGGGATGGAGGACAGACACCTGCAACTGATTCTTCTAAAAAGAAACACCAAATGAAGTACAGTTACATCTGTGGAAACCCCGGGGGGCGCATCCCTGCTGCAAGGGGAGAGCTGCCTCCCAAATTCTTTCTGAGATGGCGTACTAGAACTGTTAGGACTGCTCCACTGGCTTTTTCAAAATCCTGCCCATTGGTGTGGCAATGGCCTCTTTTGTTTTCAGTGTGTTTTCAACTGATTCATTTAAGCACTGAATCAAATAAAACTCACAGCCCCGGTTTTCAGCAGGCAAGAATAAATAGAAACAGATTTAATAACAACCAGGTAGCCAGAGTCAGTGTCCAGAACTTAAATTTCTCAAAGCAAAAAAGTGGAAAGCAGCTGTGGGAAACTCCAGCATGAGTGCAGATTCAGTAGCAGCAGTGATAAATCACAATAGGAGAAAAAAAAATTATGCTTATGAAGTAATGATAGCCATCTCATCTTGATGAGAATATAGAAACAGAGCGAGTCAGAAGGGGTCTCCTGGGCCATCTAGTCTGACCCCCGGCTCCAGCCGGCTCCGCTCACGACATGCCCACCATGTGCATGTCCAGCTTGTCTTTGAACACCCTCACCGATGGGGCCTCAACCACCTCCCATGGAAGCCCATTCCACACCCTCGGGGTCCTAACTGTCAGGAAGGACTTCCTGGCATCCAAATTGAAGATACAATAGTATACCATGGCTTGCATTAGGGCTGGGTGCAGAATCTCTTGGTCCTAGTATTACATTATTTTTTATATTTATACCCCACCCAAGAAGGCTTACCTATGCATCCATAGCATCCCCCAGTTCAGCAGAGACATAGTTTAACCCTCCTTGTGGTGTTCTTCTCTCAACATCTAGGTAATATCTTTGTCGTCAGCCTATCTGTGGCGGACCTCGTGGTTGCGGTGTACCCGTACCCCCTCATCCTGACCGCCATCTTTCACAACGAATGGACAATGGGACACATCCATTGCCAGGTCAGTGGCTTCTTCATGGGCCTGAGTGTCATCGGTTCCATTTTCAACATCACTGCTATTGCCATCAACAGGTACTGCTACATCTGCCACAGCCTCCGATATGACAAACTCTTCAACCTGAAGAACACCTGTGGCTACCTTTGCCTGACCTGGCTGCTCACTTTGGTGGCGATCGTGCCCAACTTCTTCGTGGGGTCCCTGCAGTACGACCGTCGGATTTATTCCTGCACTTTTGCTCAGACAGCCAGCATGTCATACACCATCGTGGTGGTGGTGGTGCATTTCATCCTCCCGCTCGCCGTCGTGACGTTTTGCTACCTGCGGATTTGGATCCTGGTGATTCAGGTCAAGCACCGAGTGAGGCAGGATGGCAGGCAGAAGGTGAGAGTGGCTGACATCCGGAATTTCTTGACCATGTTTGTGGTTTTTGTTCTCTTTGCTGTGTGCTGGGGGCCACTCAACTTTATTGGTCTCGCAGTCTCCATCAATCCTTCTAAAATCATACCACAGATACCAGAGTGGCTCTTTGTGGTGAGCTATTTTATGGCTTACTTCAACAGCTGTCTCAATGCTGTGATCTATGGCCTTCTCAACCAGAATTTCCGGAAGGAGTTCAAAAGAATCCTCATTGCCCTCTGGATTCCACGGCTGCTGTTTGTCGATGTCTCAAAAGGTGGGACAGAGGGAATGAAAAGCAAACCATCTCCAGCTGTGACGAACAACAACAACAACCAGGCTGAAGTCTACTTATAAACGGAAGGGAAACTATCTCTGCTGCTACATCTGCATAATCCTGTGTAAAGTGGTTGCTGTGTGGCTAGAGGACCCCTTGCTGCAAATCTTACTCGTGCAAAGAAAAGAATCCTGTCTCCATCCCTTCCCTTTTTTCCAGCAGTGCTCCTGTGGTTTACTAGAGTCGTTGGCAAAGGCATGCAAGCCGCTTTGCCCAACTTGGTATTCTCCAGTTATGTGGGACTGCAATTCCCATCATTCCCAGGCAGGAATGATGAGAGTTGCCATCTAACACGTCTGGAGGGCACCAGGTGGAAACTGTAAAGCAAGATGCTTCATGTGCTAATTTGGCCCTGGTCCCGAACATGCAGGTTGGCTTCTGGAAAAGCCTTCAGCCTTCTGCCGAGCTGGATGCTTTCTCAACAGAGCTCCAAGACCTGCAGCCTTCCTATGCTTTGAATAAACAACCCAGAACCTTCTTCACGCCACGTAGATGCTGCACTGTGGCACTATGGACCCTCTCCTTTGGGCCTCAGCTCCTCACCCCATCTGTGTTCCCCCCAAGTTTTGAGTAAGGATTTGCGGGGTGGAGCTTTCTCACTCGTCTTATCTTTTTAGATCTGTCTTCCACAATGTGCCTGATAGATTCTGATGTGCTTGTCACAACCCATGTATCACCTGCAATGGCCCCCTGAAAGGAGGAGCATTCCAGGAAGGGTGCATGCGGCTGCTTCAGAGTGTATCTCAAGGGATCTGGGGACCAACAGGGCATGGTCCGTGTTCTGCATCTTCCGCCTGCAGGGGTCCCACACACCACCCTTTTGGCGTGCTGCTGCTGAAGCGTCAAGCCACTGGGCCAGCCTAGTGCTTGATTCGGCTACTCTCTGCATGGGGCATCCTTTCTCCCTCCCCTTTTTGAAGTCATATTAATCAAGGATTGGCCCTTCTCACTTTGGACACCCGAGTTCATAATCTGTCATGAACTGCTTGTAGTGAGGCCTGAAAAGTAAGTTTGGGCTCCTCGAGATCAAAGCATTCATGGACGGGGGTGTTCATTTCCCAGCAACTCTGCATGAGTAACTTAGTAATGCTGTGAGGACAAAGCGAGCTTCTGTACGGAAGAGTTAATCTTACTTGTGCACGCTCTAAAAGCAAAGCTTTGGGGTGCACTACAGAAACGTGCCTACATTTCCCTTTAAATCCAGTTTTGTTGGGGAGGGTGTTTTAAAGCATGTCTCTCCTTTCAGACCTGAAGTAAGCAAAAGGCGAAAGCAGAAACCAGGACAGATTTCATGTGCCTTCCACAGATGGGTCCCTATACACATGTGCAGACAGTGCTGACATGTTTAAACTAGCCAGGCCTCTCAGCAGTCAGTCCAAAGGTGCGTATGTCAGTCCAGCCCAGCTCTGAAATCAGCCAGTTTTGTGTGGTTAGAATGGAAGCTGAGCTGTACATTGACTGACCGCCTGTGAGGCTGCTAAGGATCTTCCCCTAACTCCAGGACCATGTTTGCAATGGCAACCTGCCCCCCCTCCCCACCAAGTCTGTACCTTAAAAAGAAAATAGGGTGATGGATGAATGGATGAACACTCATTCAGCAAATCTAAGTTCAAAAATATTAAAAAGGCAGATATGCCACCTCCAGAAGACGGGTGGCTGAGCCAACACGATCCGCTGGTTGGAATGCTATTTCAGTTGCAAAGCTGGCAGTAAGCTGAGTTCCCCTTGCAGCTGAGAGATATGCTGCGATCTCTTTTTTAACAGAATGCCTGTCATTTCCCACTCTTAAACAGCCCTCTGTGCTTTCTTTGCAGACCACAAACAAGTTTCAAGGGACTGTATAATCTCAGCCAAACATTCTAATTCAGTCTGCACCATTTGTTCAATAAATTGATTACAGCTGCCTTCCCCAGCGTGACCCTCCGCCAAGATGAGCAGAGCTACAGCCCCCATCGTACCTTGCAAGGGCCATGCTGGCTGGGGGAGATGGGAGTTGGAGTCCACGTCATCGCAGGAGGGCCAGGTCAAGGAAGCCTGGATTATGCTAGTCAATTCAAAATATTCCAATCAGCCAAAGAAGCTGCTGTGCAGATTTTGTAGTGTCTTGAAATCATGTTCAGTCCGGCATTTATAAAGACTACAGAATGCATGGGCAAAGCAGCTTCCAGTGCAATGGGTGCACAAGAGAGAATGTGGAATGCTTCTCATTTTTATAGCAGACCTTGCAAAAGCAAGTGCATATACTCATACGCGGACTGAATAAATGAATGACTAGATTGATCAGTGAAGGCTGCGGTCCTGTGCTTCCCGGGTGGACTTCTCAGGAGACTCAGGATTGGTCAGAGCTCCTCCTGAGCATGGACAGAGAGATGGTGGGGAGGAACCCATGCTGGCAAGCTTCTTCCATGAAGCAACAGAAAGCTCTGCACTGGCGCTTCTCTGACGCTTCTAGAGGCGCCAGAGGCAGATTTTCCCCTTTGCTGCCATTCCAAAGCTTAGTTTTGGAAGACAGATTTTCCACAGAACCCCAGCAGGAGAGGAAAGTGTCGCACTTTCCCTCAGCACCTGCTCTGATCTCGGTCATTACCAGCCTCCTCCCAGTCACCCCACGGATGTGATTTGCAGGTGTGTGTTTTTTTTCCTTCGGTTGGTTAAAATGCAACGTGTGTGTCACTTGACTCTCGGAAGACACCCGGCACCTGTTAGAATCAAAAGCAAATTGCCACCTCCTGCAGAGGCTGAGAAAGAAGAAGCTGCGCTTCATTGCATTGTGTCCTCGACTGTGAAGTCAAGCCAGGTCAAAGCGAGAAATGTTATTGCTGCGGCACGGGAATCTGCTTCATGCTCAGTTGGTGACTTGGCCCATGTTGCTTGGTGCTGTTCGGCAGTGGCCGGCAGCCACTGTTTCTCTGCCATTTCAAGCAGGAATCTTTCTTAGACCTTACCTGGAGATGCCAGGAATTGAACCTGGGAAGCAGGCATCCTGCCGCTGAGCAGGCTCCCTCCCCAGAGAACACGGAGTCCTGAGGTTGACACGCCCCGGCTCCCAACCCACAAGACAGTCCTGCCCTCTTGAATCTTCACACATGTGGAGCTTCCCTTGAAATATATGAGGGGGCCTCTTCTGGTGGGCCTGGGATCCCCCCGAATAGACTTCCTAGCCGTCTACACCATGGTACTTAGGGTTGTGAAGCAAAACACATGGTGTGATAGTGCAATATTTGTCTTGCACCTGCAAAACAATGCTTGCTTTTGCAAAGCACTCTCTTCCGAGTACTGTAAAGTCAATGGAATCCGGAATTCTTTTAGGGCAGCCGCCTTTTCCCAGAATGGTTATAGGGTTCAGTATTCAATTATTTGCCAGCTGCTAAATGTCTTCAGCTACATCCTGATTTTGTCTCAGCACAGAGGACAGAGTTCCTTCTGAAGCGTCATCGAGATGAGATATATACTTGCATTTCCACCAGAAATTCCTTAAGACTAGAATTGGGTGATAGAAGATGTATTGTGAATTGATAGCATAGAGGAGAACCTACGCTGCAGCTAAAGTTTGGCCAGTGAATACCAAAACTGTAACAAAACTGGTCCTGTGACATAGTATGAAGGCCCACGAGGTCTTCTGAAGCTAGGCAGGTCCAGGGTTGGCCAGAGCTTGGAGGAAAGACTACCTGCAACCACATCCAGTCATGCTGAGTTCCATGATGGAAGAAAGATGAGATGAAAATGCAATCAATAAACGTAAGTCCAAGCCATTTAAAGTACTTGCCTGGACACCAGGCATGCAAAACCTGAAGCCCAAAGGCAAAACAGGCCTTCCTTGGGTCCCAACCTGGCCTTCTGGGGTTTTCCAGAAAGCCGTGCCATTTTCTCCCGGTCCCACACCCTTTTGAGAGGCTGCCAGTCATCTGACAACTTCCTGCCTCTTGTGTCTCTCTGACCCAACACACTCTGGAAGGGCTTGGTGGCTGGTACTCTGACCTTCAGGCTAAAACACACAGCTATTTTTGCTCCTGGTTCCACCCCTCTGTGGAACATGCCCCCCTAGAACTTCTCCAGCATGACGTTCAGCCCTGAGGCCAAAGGAGGTTCAGCAGCCTGGGTCTCCATCAACGGGCAGAGGCAATCGGGGGTTCTGGGCAGGAGCCTCCCCCTCCTCCTTCTGGAGATGCTGGGATTCAGCCTGAGAGCTGCTGAACAAAGGTTTCCTGAGGGGTCTGCAGAGTGTGGGCACAATCACTCAGGCCAGGAGAACCATTTGAATGTCAGTTCCAGGACGATCCAAAGTGTCAGACAGATTCCCACCGCTTTTCAGTTAAACAGGGAAATTTGGGTCATAATGCTTGCACAGGGTCTCTTTCTGTGGCATGTTCAAGCCATGTATTTACATCCCACCTTTTTTCCTTTCGAGGATCTCAAGACGGCTCACATAATCATTTTTTTCTCAATTTAATCCTCGCAACAACAACCCCGTGAAGTAGCTTCCACTGAGAGTCCGTGACTGGCTCAAAGGCCCCCAGCGATCTGCATGGCGGAGTGGGGACTAGCACCCACAGCGCCCAGATCCCCAGTCCAACACTCCAAGCACAGCACATGGGCTCTCGGTGGAAGTCGACCTCTCCTTTCATAATGAGAATCAGAACGAGTCTCAGCACCATTTTCCATCTGGATGCACGGAGCCAACATACCCCGCCTCCTCAAAACCCTCAAGCTGAAGCACCCCAAAATCCCTAGGCAAGGATAGTGTGTGTGTGTGTTTCTCATTCGATATAGTCTTGCAGTTACCATCACTCTGTACTGACTTGACCAAGTGGTGACTATGGAGTATCTGTTTTCCAATGGTGCTTGTAAGGATAGCGCTGAGCTTGGGTCCTCAGGCCTTTGGCTCTTGATCCACTGCCCAGGCTATCCGATCTATGCCACAGACCCCAGAGTATTCTTTGGTGCTATTGGAAGAGATTTTTCTCATCTTAATTGCTACATGGGGGGAAATTTCAAGGAGGATTCCAGCTACAGAAGGAAG